CCCCCCTTAAAATCATCCTCCCAGAAATTGCGATTTATCCAGATAGAAAGAGCCCACTTAGCCGCTGAGGATTGCCAAATTCTAGGTGCCAGGCTGGCAAATGATGCATGCTTCCCAGTGCGCCGCAGCATTAGCCCAACAACTGGTCTCAGTGGCCCATTTTCTGCAGCCAACAACTCATCCACTTGCCATTCTCAGTAGGTGTGGCAGCACTGGCAGGAGCACCGCAAGGCACTGCCGGACGGCGTTCGGGTGCCCAGGAAGGTTCACGATTAAGACCTGGGCGCCAGAGCCAGCCGCGGCGCTCGGCGCGGCTGGGGGGTCTTGAGCGGCGGCTGGGGGTCTTGGGCAAGTGTTGGGACGAATCGTCTCATGCCTGGGATGGGCCTGGTCACATCCGAGAAATGTAAAGACCAAGCTGCAAACGACTCAAAGGAAACGAAGGCGAAACATGGGCCTTATCAGGAAAACATAGGAAAACAATGTTCCTTGGCAAGCCGGATAGGTTCACTTGCCTGATTTGTGTTTTGGATCTGTCGGAAACCTGATCGAAGGAACATGACCGAAGGAACCCGCTTCCACATGACCGGTGTCTATGACTTGGATCCTTCGGAAGACCGCACGACGGCGCTGCAAGGAACTCAGTCCTTCGGCGCCTGATCCTTCATGCGCATGGAATAGCCATGTCGACATGACATGTTGGTTCTTTCTCGTAGCACTGCAAAAATGGTTGGTCGATGTTGGGGTCCCAGGTCGAGGGGGACCAGAAGTCACTAGTCACTGGTGAAGCATGGGAAAGTGTGGATTCAAAGAAGCCTCTCGGCAAAACATCGTTGAGAAAGTCATTGGCATTCATTTCGTACCCCGGCGGTGCCCTGCCCGGCGGTGCCTTGTCCTTGGTGAGTCCACAGACCTTGAGGGCGAACGAGGTGGCCCCTTCAAGAGCCAGACTTGCAGTTCTCAGTGCTGGTGTCTGGTTTGGGACATCTACGGTTCTGGGAATCTATACATTCATCCCAAATCACCCCCTGAGTGTTCAGAATCTGCTTGAGGAATGATCAGGAATTTGAGGTCATCTGGGCAAAACACACATCTCCATCGTCTGCATGCCCTTGGCTAGATAACTAAACAAGTTGGTGGATCCCCAGCTTTAAAGTAGAGTTGACAAGGTTTGCAAAGCCCCGCTGGTAAGTCCTGCTGCCAACTCCACATGGGCTGTGCTTCGGTCAACTTCATGTTCACTCGAAAGAAGAACCACGGAAAACTTTCAAGGAGCCAAACAAATATACGATTTGCATCGATTTCTCTAGTCTGAAGATGTCTGAAGAGCTGTTTTTGTTTCCAGAAGAAGGCGCTTGGAATAGGTGCCCGATCCTTCAAATAACCACGTTAGTGTTTAGATGTGTTTAGAGTTCAGCACGCCGCGGCCGCTTCCGCCGAGGTGCACCACGCGACAGAATGCTGCGAGGCTCCTATGGGAGTTCATCTAGATTTAGATGGTGGGTGGGATTTTGCCGACAGCACTGGCGGCCACTGGGTGGTTGTTCGCATATTGATCTTCGTTATATTTAAAGTAGAAAACATCTACGGTTTGCAGTAGGTAAGCCACTGAGCATGGCTGCGATTATCCCATAATCATGCTATAGTGGAGAAGGTCAAACATAGTAAAATCAAGGGTCAGCGTCCTAAGAATCAAGGCCGCCAAAGGATGTGCCGGTAGGTTTCGCCAAGTCGCCACCCAACCCTACTCCTCACCCCAGCTAGCACCCACAACCCATCCAAAACTCCACCACCACCACCACCAAAACCCAAACCCATGGGCAAAAACCCATCCAAACCCATAGGAGACACCCAACTCAAATGCTGGACATAACGGGCCAGTTTAGCTTGCAAACACGTGCCAAAAGATCCTCCAACCATCCCTGACCCGAAACTTCAACCCTCCATTCGACTTGTTCGACCTGCTCCAGGCCCCCGACCTGCAAGGAGGTCTGCCAGGCCATCGCCCTGCTCAAGTTCTCTGCCGGCTTCGCCAGCAGCCGCCGCGTGGCCTCCGGCGTGACATCGCGCGGGCCGAAGCCAGTGCCGCCGGTGGTGAGCACCACGTCGCAGCTGCCGGAATTGCTCCAGGAACTCCTTGGAACTGCAAGAGGGTGTAAAAAATGGTTGAAACAAACACATGCGAACAAAATGGAGCAATTAGATCAACATCGATCAACTGGTTTGAATTATAGTTGCTAGCAAGTGAACCTTGTAGTACTCCCATTGTCTTCGCCCCCTCAATGTCACAATTCACGACCCTTTGAACGGACCCTGTTAGATCTGCAGCGATTGCACACAGCCATCGAGCAAGCTGTGGAACGAGATTCAAAGCAGTGAAAATCGTTTCTTCGTCATCCGGCACCACTTTCAGTTCAAGGAAACTTGGTTTCAATGTCCCATGCTGCTCGGCAAAGGCCTTCACCATCTCCACCACAGCAGGGCCAGACTTGTCCTTCAACACAGGGCGGGCAGCAAAGTCAAAGTGCCACACCAGGCTGGTTCATTGTACAATTGGACTGTTCATACATTTCCTTTTAAAGGCTGCCAGTGGCACACCTGCAAAACACACCTGCAAAACATGGGACTCTGTACCCTTATAAGCTCCCACACGTCCAAAAAAACTGATGTGACTTCACGAGAAGTCCGGATTCGTCGTCCAAACTTGTTACCCTCAATGTTTCGCTCACTAACATGGAGCCAAATCTGCCCATGGCAAATCATTTTGGCAATGTCTTTCCATGAACTAGACTGTCTGGAACCCCCGGTCCCGTCTAGTGCGTTCTGCTCTGGAGTGAATGAGCCTGATTGCCCACTCAAAGTACAGCACAGCTGCCCCACGGAACATGCTGCCCGCTGCCCTTTCTGCCAAATAAATTTTTGGCAATGACAGGGGTCAGAACTGCTAGACTAGATTAAGAACCCGCAAGAGGAAAAATGCATTTGATGCTTCAATTTGCAAGCCGTCAAGTGAGAACCCACACAAGGAACGTGTTTTTGCTTGCAAGCCTTCAATGAGGAACCCCGCATAACCAAACAGTATTCGTTTGTGTTTGCAAACCTTCAACCCACATAAAGGAATATGTATTCATTTGTAGTTGCAAGCTTTCAATTTAGAGCCTACATAAAACATGTGTTCGTTTGTAATTGCAAACATTCAATTAAGAACTTGCATAAAGAAAATGTGTTATTCATTTGTATGTGCCAACGTTCAAGTGTACAACTCACATAAGGGAAATGTTTTCGTTTGCGTTTGCAGAATTTTTGTTTGTATTTTGTTGCGGTTGCAAGCATTGAGTTACGAGCCCACAAAATTTTAAAAAAAAATATGCGTTTGCAAACAGTCACCCGACAACCCACATGGAGAAATTGCTTTCGTTTGTTGATACAAACTTTCAAGTAAGAACCCAGGACAAAGTAGTACTCGTTTGTTTTTTGCAAACTTTCAAAAAAGGACCCACAAAAGCAAAGTATTGTCGTTTGTATTGTATACCTTTAATTGAGACCCCCCGACGAGAAAATGGTTTTCATGTCTACTTGCAACCTTTCGTTGCATGCGGACATCGGCGGAATGTCGTTTGAGTCGTTTTCCATCTGGAAAGTTAAAGTCGAGACAAACAAAATGCACAATTCTTTTAAGCGGGTGTGAATACATATTCGCGTTCCATTGAACTTGTCGCGGCAATGCATGAGGCAAGTGTGCGGTTGTCAGTTAGGGTGCCCCTTTCGGCTTTTGATTTGACCACGCGGACTCAAATCTTGTTTTCGGTATAACACACGCTTTTGCGTTGCTCGCAGGACAGCAAAATGGAAATGCGCAATCCCCCAGAGACCTTGGCTCAAGCAACAACCCCCTGTCTTCCGCGAAAACTTCGCAGGCTTGCTGCAATTGCGCAAGCTCCAGCTCCGCTCCCCCATTCCACTTTCCAGGACGTTCTGCAGATGTCGCACTCGACATCCGTGCCGGGGCCACAGTGGGTGCGCCTTGTAGTTTTGCACCACCTGACGGAAAGCGGGTAGCGCATACAAGGGGCGCGCATCAGCAAGAAGTATCATCGCCGGCGCCTTTTCCTGCACTGGGTCTTCTGAAAGGTGCACGCGGCGGTTGTCTGGAGGCCTGGCACCGGCAAGTCTTACAGGAGCGTTGTTGAACGAATGCGTGGCACTGCCTCTCGCCAGGGGCGCGGAGAATGCCCCTCAGCGGTTGACGTCGCAACCTGCGCATGGGCATCAGTCTGTGGCGCAGTTGCAGTTGGGACAGTTTGGCTCAAGTCACTTAGGTGTCACTTTTTGATTTGTAAATACTTATAAGTCATACTTACGAAAGTTATGTAAGTTTGAAAAAGGACTTACAGAGAATTTACAAAGATTTACAAAAACCACGTTTGGAGACTGCTTTGGCAGCACTTGCAGCGTGTGGAAATTTGCATGCATAAAGCCGTATAATTCTTGATTGAAACTACGAAATTATGATATCTATGTAGCCGTACGTTTTCTGGATACATATTGTATTTCTTTTGGTCTAAATATGAAACGTACCTGTCAATGTGCACATATCACATCCTGTATATATATACTGAAGATTCTTGGGTTTTGCTTTTCATATTTCGGTCATTACCGATTGTCGGTCGTTACCGAAGGTTGACATTGACCGTGGCATTTGGTTTATAGTCAGGGGGTTCGGATTTCAGCTCGAAGGCACCTTCAGATATGGGGGACGAAGAGAAGCCGGTGTCTTTACCCATTGAACAGTACTTTGGCAAGATCACTTCTAAAACGGTCATTACCGTGAATCTTGAAAATTAGGGTCATTACCCAAAACCACCCCATACCACCCCCTAACACCCCATACCACCCCATACAACCCTATACCATCCCTATACCATCCCTATACCATCCCCATACCATCCCCATACCATTCCCATACCACCCAAGGTATCCCCATACCATCCCCATACCACCCCATACCGTTCCCATACCATCCTCTACCATGACCAGTTTTTATTGAGTTCCAGTTGGATGATTGAACATTTCTTCTCATTCAAAGATGCGGTCATTACCGTCCATTTGCTGGATATTGAATGCATGAGGCCATGAGGAATCAAACTGCGGAGGACCGTCAGGCTACATAGATATACATCCATACTATGCTATGATACTATTTCTGAAAATTAGCAAGTGCAACAAACCCAAGAAGCACAAACAAAAACTTACAGCCAAGGCTGACCTTTCCTAATTCAAAAGCCAGAGAAAGGTTGCGTTGCCAAGAAGCACAAAAGGTGCAGTTATATCTCACAAAGTCGGCTTTGCACGCTTGCAACAACCAAAATGGCGCTTGCTCACAGTTTAATCACTGTCACAGATATTTGCAATCACCATTCTTCAAAATCTGCCTTTTGCATTTCATAGCACAAAAAACTCAAAAAACATAATTTTGGAAACGCTAAAAAGACAAGTTTTTTGGAATTTACAAAAATTATGAAATAGTTTTTGTAGATTTTGTAACCATACTTATAATCAACTACAAATTCAAAAGTGACGCCTAAGCAGAGGCCTTGGGCAAGGAGGTGGAGGCGAAGCCTCTCGCTCCTGAAAGCAAAAAAATGTATGCAGATGGCAAGGGTGACCAGATTGCGCAGGCCTGTGGGCTTGGTGGCGGGAACCGGTTGCGACACCGCCCGTCCTGCAAGCTCGGAGAAGACGAAAAGAATCAGCAAAGTGGTGAGGCAAGTGGCCTTGCTAAACCGCCGCTCATGGCACTCCAGGCAGTAGAGCCAGTAGGGCGTCTTTCTGCCTGGCTGAGAGGAGGGCTAGGGCATCGTGCGAGTGGTTTGGAAGGTAATTTGCTGCCGCTGGACGCCAACTTCTTTAAGAAGGTTGCGCTTAGCATCCGCAACGCCAACCACAATTTTTCCCCAGAGTTCCGAGCCGTGAACGCTTGCGATTTCCGTTCATCCGTGTGAGAGACAGCCCGCAGGCCGTGCGGAAGCGGCCATTGCACCAGCAGAAAGATTGCCAAAGCAAGCGCGCGTCATGGCCTAAAGAAAACCGACTGAGGGGACATTGCGAAAAAAGCTTGAACAGAAAAGCCGCAAAAACAAAAATACTAAGATCTGATACTGATCTAAGTACGCACAAGAGGCCTTCCGGGCAAAAGCGCACATTGTTAAGACCTACAACGACAGGTAAATGCTGGAAATTTAGATCCATTTTTTGCGAGGTTCTGAGTATAGGGAATTCAGCAATACAGCTGTGATCATAGGTTGGGGTATTCTGTGGAGAAAAGCCAATCAGAAAGGGATTCTGGAGACATCAATCAGCAAAAGAGGGAAGGCAAGCCAAAGACAGGAAATCAGCAAAATGTAAGAAGAACGAGAGAACTGAGAAACAACCAGCGAACCTGCACACTGTGCACATGACTCGAACAGAGGTTGCCCAGGTGATGTGAGGTATCTGCTTCTGTCCAAAATCAAGACGCTGGCAAGTCAAGTACCTGCACACCTGCCGCAACAAAGGTTGTTTTTCCAACAGCCTGCTGCCTTTATGTTATTCTTCACGCTTTGCTTGTACTGTGCCTTTTGTAAAATAATGTCAAATAGCACTTACAAAACCTAGACCTAGACCGAGGCCGTCTCCAATCCCACTCACTATGACAAATCAGGGTTCCACAAGCGCTTCCGGCACTCCGTCAACACCTTCGCAGAGGAGTGCTTCTTCGGACAGTCATAGGCCTTGTGGGTTAGCTGTGACAGCCATTGTCTCCCTCTTTCGGCCACGACACTGCAACAAGGACTCCTGCGACACCAACAGTCACGATGCTCCGGACGGTCCCTCGTTTCCACTCACTGACTTTGCCCCCCCCACTGTTTTTTAGCGATGCGAATTTCGCCTCCCCCGACCACCACTTTTGCTCGCTTTTCTTTCTCCTGCACCAGCTCCACCATGAACGTGGCTGCGCCGCACACGTTCGGCGTCGGCACCGTGCAGGTGTAGTCCGCATACGCTGCCACGCGGTCTCCGCGGTGACGGGCGCATCCTCTTCTACACTCAACACTCACCTGCGCCACCACTTCAAGTGCCTCTACCGACGCCTCCGTCTGGCGGAGGAAATCCACTAGGAGGCCATTGTGGCAGACAGAAGCAAATTGTCCCCGTCGTACTCTCCGCCTGCCAGAGCGGTGATGCCCTCTCCACGGGCGGACAAGATCACCACATTGTCTGGCAAGGGGTCAAGTCCGTGTGGCAAGCTGTGGTAGCTCGGCCTCCCAGACTTCTATGTCGGTGGGGGCCACCACGGGGAAGCGCCAGACAACCACCGGGCCACCGGGCCTTCGTACGCTTTCCCGCGCACTGTCACCCAGCATCGCTAGGCCTGGCAGTGTCCATGGGTGTGGGACGGCGAAAGAAACAGAAAAACCCAACAACTTGGGACCGCAGTGCCGCCAGGGTTTCGTTCAAACGCTTGCACTCACCTGTTGTGTCCATCCTTCCGTCTGGCTTTGTGCGACCCTTGCCGGCGCCTGAAGACGGCCCCAGATATCGGCGCGCGGGAGCAGCACGAAGGAATGTGGCCCTAGGTGGTAAGGAAAATATGTTCGTTTGTGGTTGCATGCCTTCAGCTAAGAACCTGCATAAGGAAAATGTATTCGCTTGTGCTTGCTGGATTTCAATTAGTAACCCACATAAGGAAAAACGTGTTCGGTTGTGTTTGCAAGCCGTGAATTAAGAAGCATGCAGAAAATGCCTTCGTTCGAGTGTAGTGCAAACTTTCAATTCAGAACCCGCATACGGAAAGTCTTTTTGTATAATCAGAATTTGTTATCACCAGCTTGCAAGGAAAATGCAAGCGCATCAAAAAAGACCTACGTTTGTAATATTGGTTGCAGGCCATCAATTCTTGTGACTTGTGGCAAGGAAAGTGCAAGCAAAGCAGGGCACAAGGCACGCTACAGGTAGGAGTTTTAGGGATATGCGCGCAGCAGCTTTCCGCATACGCTTTGCCGCGAAAGGTTTGTTAAGATGTTGCAGAGCTTTTTCACAAAGGAAACGGAACCACAAAGGCACATCTCAAACGAGTTGAACTGGTTGCCGGCATGGCCATATCTCGCCTTTTCAAGAGAACTTGCGCGCACTAGCGCTTTCAGACGGCGCTCTGCTAGGTTTGATTTGCGCTTCAAAGGGGTCTACGGCGGCTGTGTTGCAAAAGGCTTGCGCCAGAGAACCCCACCCCATGACGGAAGCAAACGGCATCAAGCGACCATTGACCAGCAAGTCCACATTTGGATTGTGGGTCCTCAAGGGGACGGACTTCGGGCAGAACTTCCAAATATGTCGGTGAAAGGTCTTGGCAAGGTGATTGTGCCCGCCTCCTCTGACATGGCAAAGCTGGCACGGTGTGCCCGACAATGTGTACCCATACTGTCTTTGCTTTCACTTGGGGGGCGCTCTGTCACGGAGACGTCTTCTATACTGGGGAACCTCGGATAATCACGATGCCCTGGACTCCAGCGTTCCAAACATAATAGTACATACTCTCCGCCAAACTTTTCTGACCGGCAAAAAATAGCTTTGTTCTATTGATGCATGGTTTACAGGAGGTTACCATTATATAAGTTAGTGCTTAAATCGCAAAACATTACAACCAAAGACCCCGCAAAAAAAAATACATGCACTATATATCACTACCTTACCCCCGGGGGGGGTCAAAAATGTAATTTACAATTTCGGGTGTGTCAAAATGCAGGTTTTGGAAAACGGTGAAATTTGAACATACAGGTCTGACATACCTCCATCTCACAAGACAGGGGTCAAAATTGTAAGTTACATTTTTGACCCTCGTGTGTGTTCGTTCGGCCTGCACGCACTCAAAAATTGTAAGTTACATTTTTGAGGGTGAGGGTCCATGCTTCTACCTCACCCTCAAAAATGTAACTTACAAGTTCCCTTTCGGTTGATCACAAGTTTGCACTGTGCCGCATTTTCCCTTGGAAGTGTTGGCATGTAGCGGCTGCGCCCGAAGATTCTGGCCAGTGGGAAAGGCAGTCTAATTGTAATATTTCCTGCTGGGTACACTAGGTCAATAAAACGCAAAAAGACGCCTTTCAATTCATTCAGGACACAATCTAAGAAGAATGTGACAGGACGCAAACAAAAGAGGCACATTTCGTAAAAGAAGATGTTTTCTTTCATCTTTTTCTTGGACAAGGGTCATTGGAGACTCTACTAAGGTAGTGCGTGCTGTGTGGGCTTTTTCCTGGGCTGTGCCTGCCTCAACATTTATTGGAGGACCTCACCAGTGCGGGAGGGGGGGAACTAATTGTAATATGGCTTTCTGGCTGTACTA